TTTTTTTTTTTGCTGCATATTTTAATCAGAGATGCAAGCAGAGTTTCCTAGATTTTATTTATTTCTTGTGCTGGTTCCAATCCTGGCCTTGTTGTTTCTCAGAACATCAAATTTTCAAAATAGTATGATAACACTAATATAACATGTCAAATAGTCTCCATCCATGCATTTTCTAATCCGCTTATCCTCATAAGGGTCGCGGGTGTGGTGGAGCCTATCCCAGCTGTTTTTGGTCAGTAGGCAGTGTACACCCTGAAGTGGTTGCCAGCCAAATGCAGATGTAATATGGTCATTTATTTAATAATATTTATTCATTAAGGGTTGGGTTCAGCAACAAGTGGATTTTTTTTTCTGAAATGTCATACCTATGAATTACCACGCATGGTGAAATCCGTGTTTGTGCAAGCTTTTGTAGTTCCATCCTAAAAACAAAATAATGATGAGCTAGAAAAAAGGCCATTTTTGAAATCAACGTCAAAATTATGTTGAGGGACATCCAAAGCCAACTCTGATTTCAAATTTGCTGTTGACCAATGTAATTGTTGCCCCTCCCCAAGAATGTTTAGAATTGCCTATACTGAGTTTGTTTACACTTTAAATATACAACAAACTATGATCATGAAACACTAACGTTTTTTGAAAAGCAGAAAAAAACCACTCATAAACTGCATGTAAATTGCGAGCAGATGACATTACATGTTAGAACCAAGAGAAGCACATTGTTACAGTATTACTGTCTTGTATTCTGTGTTGATATTGATATTGAGAATTGTCTATTATTGTTCAGAAACCCGCAAAATAGATTTGATTTTGCAAATAGGCGAGGTTAACTGTACCGAAAATACTGTCCACAAGAGGGTGCACAAGAAGCTTCCATTGCAAAGGCATTTCAATTTCAAATAAAGACCACCTATGACATTATGCTGCTAGTATATTTCTGGGGGAATATTGATGAACTTGTTTCCCACTGAACGATGCATTTGTCTCTCACAGACCGGACACCACCACCCAAGCCATGCGAACCAGCATGCCGGCCTTGTGGGTGAAGGTGTCTTCCAGCTGGCTGGGTCTCAGCCTGTATCTGTGGACCCTCGTCGCCCCTCTCATCTTCCCTGACAGAGATTTCAGCTGAGCAGACGGTCTTTTCTTTTCTGTTGGTTTCATTTTCAAGGCTGGCTTTAGTGATTTGAAAGGGGCAGAACACCACAATGAAGTGGAAATAATACAGGAAATGCAATCAAATTTTGTTTTGCCTTTGCCATCTTACTTGTTTGATGACTTCATGTGATAATCAACTGCAGATATTAATGGGCCAGGTTAATGGGAGCTTGAGCCCCAAGAAGTTATTCTCGTTTCCCATGACTCACCTTGATAGGCTTCTTCTTGCCACCTGATAATGGCGTGTGGGCTGTTCTCTTTATGCTGAACTTTAGTTACCAGACTATCACGCAGGCTCAGAGATGAGGCACTTTCGCAATACCGCAGTTTCATTTTTAGATGTCATGCTGAAGACCAGATACACCAGACTTCCTGTTCACCACGTCAGGATCCCCCCCCTTTTGATTATTTCAAGGACTAATTTCAGTGCTAGGGGCAATGTGGGGAAACCTCCTTTTCGAGCCCCAGTGAGAGGAGTGCAAAAGTGAGATAAGAATAAAATGGCACACCCTACGTATCTGATGAGGGTTCCCTTTTGCAACTCAACTGTAGACACAGGCACATGATTGCGTGCCACCAGAGAACTAACAAACCCATTTTAATCTCAGGTCTTTCTGATCAAGGTCAAATATCCCTGATGCAACACCTTCTCCATGTCTGACTGTGTCTGGCCTTGTACGGCCATGCTCAACCATCTGTACCTGCATAGCAGCAAGCAGAGAAACGTATTGATCTTTGGCAGCATGCCGTCCTCACGTAATGTGCACGGGGCTCTCTCTGTTCACGCGTATGTCATCATTTCCCAAGAATTCAGAATACATGCTGCAGTGTGCAAAACAGTCAAACCAGTTGGAAAACCTGTCTTTGCTGTGATGTGTGTTCCTGCTGGTTTTAAAATAATTACCGCTAGTGTTATGTTGTTGTTTCCTCAATTTCACTAAGAATGGACCCCACCCACACCCCCCAACATGGTCTGGTGTATGTGAAAGTTTATTTTATCGGTTGTTTGGCCTACTCAAAGCAATTTTGTGTTTGGGGGAAAAAATAGTTTTATATCAAGTATTGTACAGTTTTACAATCATCACCTGACTTAAGCACATTATCAAAGCCTAATTGCCAGTGTTTTTATTTTTTTTTATTTTTTGGGTAAAACTGAAAATTTCAAAATGTTCAGTGCCTTCTCATTTCATGAATTATGAATGCTGATGCATGCTTATTTTGCTGCACACATGGTGGGAGGTCAGCTATTACATATAACACAAAAGCTTATATATTGTATGGAAGTTGGTTTTTATTACAAATTAAACACTTTGATTCGTTGGCGTTGCGCTCATTTCATTCGCGGTGTAGCTTTTGTTTAGATCTGGTTCTTCTCTACCAGTGATTCACCCGTGGGTGCAATTGATTGTACCAAAAAACTTATCTATGCTGTCGAGGTGATGCAAATGTATTTGCTTTTAGATTTACATTGAGGTGATGTGGTACAAAGTTTGGGCCACATTGGGCCTTCTTACATTTGACTTGCATGTTCTGGGTGATGCTCAGTATGGTTCTCATGTTTAGATCTGTAAATGTGTATTCGGTGGGCAGAATTATTTAATGTACTTTCTGACCACATTTCCCCATCACCTCAACTATGAATGAGTTCAACGCTTGGCTTCCTTTGCTAACTACAGTCAAGTACTGTCAGGCAGTGCTTACAGCCTCCATGGTGTTATTTCCTTCTTGTCTGGCTGTGAGGAAGGTTCCTGTTGGTTCTGGCTGCCGTACTCGTGGCCCAGTGCACTTGGCAATGTCAGGAGTTGCACATGACACACTGTTCTGCAGGCTGACTTACCAGCAACTCTCAGCAGCACCACCCGCCGCTCAACCTAATCCACATATGTCCTGAAAAGTGGCGCTGTCACACTGTAACAAATGTAACTGGCATCATACAGTTGTGTAAAAATAATGTAGCAGCACCAAATAATAGTTGAATCACAAGATCTTCACTTTATTAATGTGGGTGTTTATTGCAGTGGTGTGGAATTTAGAGACCACATAGTGAACCATTTGCAAATATTCAGCTCCATGAGTCAAAATATTAGATTCGATAGATCATTATTAAAAAGGTTGACATTTTCACACAGCTGGATCTCATTGGATGATCCACCACATGAAATGCATATTAAGTACAATGTCATTTAAAATTGAATACATACCTTACTGACCTCATAATAATGAGCAGAAACATTCAATGGTAAATATAGACGTCACAAAGCACTCCTGAGTAAGAACCGGAATTGTAAAAACGATCATTTCAATCATGAATGTATAAAAACGTACATCGTACTGCAACTTTCAGGTTATATAGTTGCTCGTCTGCACATTGCGCTGGAACTCTTCAGCCACTCCATGACCTTGCAGTGGCTGGCTGCGAAGCAGGAACAGTCCGCGTTTTTCAGACTTAGAAATCCTGCCTTATCCCCTTTCAACAGTGCGCTTCATTCACATTGGCATTGTACGCTGCTCCGGGAACCCTGGGTCAGACCCTCTGTTGAGTCTTCTGCAGTCGTCACGGAAACAAACTGACATTGGTGTAAACAAACCAGTGGACTCACCCCAGCAGATAAAACCAAAACATTCAAGTCACATTCTAGCTGCCGTTTGAGCTTCACAAAACTTTACTCGCTTATTTCTTCATTTCTCATTTTGTAATCAAATCAGTATGAGTTTTTAGAGCTTCAATAATTCTTTGCGTTCTTCGAAATGTAAGAGCCCGTGAGGAGAGCCAGCATTATCCAGGACGAATTAGCTCAACGTCATAAATTACTTTTATTTCCACTGTTATCGCCACATCTACAAATGTGAGCGCAGTCATTCTCCCAGGGAAGATTGAAGTCATTTGCTTTGGCTGTTGACTCTGCTGTCATAAATCCCACCTTTGTTTCCCCAGTTATCATCTGATGCAATTTGTCGCTGTAACATGATATCAGAAGCCGCAATGTTCAGATAATGAACCACTTAGTGTAGCACTGCAACCGTGCTTGGTTACGTATCCTGGGATTATTACTCGTACATCCACTTTATACTGGGGTTTACTCTGACCTCAATCTTGGCTCATTACAACGAAAATGTCAGGCAGCTCTGCTTCTGGCTGTGATTTTAAAATAGCGCTACTTCATAGAAAGCGTTGGGCATCCCCGATCTGATGTACAGTCGTGGCTATACAAGTGCATAGGAGGTTGTTTCTGGAAAATAAAAGCGGGCTGCACATTGTTTAAACTTTATAGCAACATGCACAGGCGTGTTACACTATTTTTGGTGGTGCTGAAGCACCTCGAAAGTGAATACAAGCACCCCCTCCCAAATTTGAGAGTTCTTTGACTTTCATTTTTAGCAAGCAAGAAAACCATACACAACTTGGTAGAAATGTAATACAATCGTTGACTGTTTCATTTTTAGCAAGCTAGAAAACCATACACAACTTGGTAGAAATGTAATACAGTATTTTCCGACAAAAATACAGTAACCTCCCCCCACCTTTTGCCTAAAAATTGTTTGATTCCACCCGATCATTTCAAATGTACACTGTAGTCATGCAGTAGAAAATTGGAAGCTCATTGTAGAGCGAATGGCGGACAGACAGAGAGAAAAATGGTTGCCTCCCAGCACGTTTCCTGGAAGATTTTTATCAAACATTAAGCTAGAACGGAATCTAAGAATGGTAAACTGACTGGTCAATATGAGAGACAAAATCATGGAGGGGTGCATAGATGACGTCCTACATGTGCTCTGGAAGCTTTTGTCAAACATTAATGCAGAATCGAACAAAGGTTGATGGAAGGTGAACCCTCACTGACAGCTTTCCCTCCATTGAGTGACAAGTGAATAACCTAAAGAACTTCCTTTCAACTTCTGAGTTTGTTTGTCATTTGACTTTAATTTGGCAATCCCAGACTGCACACTTTAAGTGCTTGTGGGACTCGCAAGTATGCATGCATGCTACCATCCCCTACCAATTCACCCCCCCCCCACTCAGCTCAGAGGTGCAGCTGATGCAGTTATGTAAGTCAGTGCAGTCGGCGTCTGCTGTGAGCCAAATGCCAGGCCAGTCTGGTTACATAAGCCTGTCAGAGTCATATTGTAGCATGCAGTTGGGAACGCTCATGCCGCTGCGTCTTCCTGCACGCCTCCCATCGCCTCCTCTTGTCTCTCACTTCCTCCCACACATCTTTCCTTTTTGCTCTCCTATTTAAAAAAAACAAAAACTACCCTACCCTCACACTTTTCCATCCTTGCTTACCATGCTGCTCTTCTCAACACCGGGAATAAAGAGAGAGCAGATGAACAGGCGGTGCTGACCATAAAAGAAGTGGCTGTTTTATTATATTAACATTCAATACACTGTAAATTTAGGTCGTTGTGGTTAACCCATTATTGAACGAGGTGCTAAATTCGGTCATTGAAGTGGTTATGAAAACAAAACACACCTTCGGTTTGAGGCAGTTGAACTGTGGGACTTGCAATAAATCAATCAAAAGAAATCAATGAAATTTATTCGTATGGACTATTGGGAGTACAATTCTTTTTTAATTTAATTTAACTTTTTTTATGGAATATCATTCTATTTTGACAACAAACACTGAGATTCGGTGGCATACTGGTCATAAAATAGGTTTGAATTTTCAAGCTCGGGTCGTCTGAGGTAAACGACTACTAGATGCAGTTCTCTAAAATCCGACAGGGGGGCTCCACTCAAATACAAAAGATGTTTGAAAAGCTGCACAGAACGCACTTAAAACTCTTCCTCGCCCTCTTTATATCATCTGGAAACAATGTACATACAGTGTGGGTGATTTTTGTTGGTCTTAGTTTTTTTGTAGCGTGTACTCTAACGTGTCAGCATCCTCGTGTTTGCTGCAGGAGCTATGTAAAACGCATCCAATGCATACAATTTGAATGAGATTCAGGGATTGCCAACCCCTTTGAAAGTGAAAACTACTTATTGGGTACTGATTAATGCGAAGGGCTACCAGTTTAATACAAACCTCCGAAATTTAAAAAAAAATGTTCAAATTACAGTAAACTATGTTCTGACGAATATGTATTAATCAATGGGGAGAAGACACTGCTCATCCCCGCCATTTTTTTAATTAATTGAGTGTAAAAGGTACCGAACCCTCGCCAATTTGTGGTTGGCATTTCACAAATTCACCTCCAGTGATACATCTCGGGAGTACAAAAGTCTTTGCATATTGGGGAGGAGCTAAATTTAGTTTGGGCTGTCAACCGAAATTACAGAGCGTTTTAGCCACGTGTAGGATTTTGTTCTCCTGAAAAACAACCCCAGCAAACAAACTGGTGAGATACTATACATGTGCACTTAAATTACGGGGCATTTTTTTCAACATCAAATCATCTAAGGGGAATATTGAAATACCAGTTTGAATTGCTATATTGTGAATACAGGTCTACAGGTGTTTTGGGGTCATTGTTTGCAGTACAGTACAGTATATTTACATTTAAGACGATGATAAACATTTTTACTTATTATATATTATTAGATAGATGGGACCTTCCATTCACATGAACCTTCCAGCAGCTCCAGCGGTAGAGAATTAAAACTAACAGTATAGGTTTTATCGGGGAGTGCTTCTCATTTGCCAGTGGCTGCGCTGTTCTCTCATGAATATTCATGAGGTGGGCGGTAGGAAGTCGGCCCACTGGAAGAGACTGAGAGGGGGCGGTGCCCACCGGACCTGCTGTGCGGGGTGGTGCGGAGCCGTGGAGTGTGTTCTGCGTGATGTTGTTTTGTTGTGGCGGTCAGATGAATGTGGACCGGCTGTCCGCTCTGACACCGCGGCGGGAAGCCCCCTGACCCCCCTCTACCCTCCCTCCCTCCCCAGGACCCACGGGCTCGGAGAGCGGCTCCATCCGGCGCATCACAATCCAGGAAATGCGGACTGCTGGCCCGTTCGCCACTAGATAAATGGCTGCAGCGCTCGTACAGTAGCAAACTGGTAAATATAAACCCAGCTAACGCGGTCTGTGTGTGGCCTTTGTTGTGATTATGGCAGCGGTTTGTCACGGTGGGTGAAGTTAGTGACAGAATGACGTTGACGCTTCCACATGCGGGCAGTGACGTGAAGTTGACTCGCTGATTGCCTTAACGCGAAACGCGTTGTAAAACATGAAATGATGATAGTGCTTTTTACGAGAACAGGCAAGGTGGGTTACTCCACAGCAGTCGATTTAGAATTTTGGTGAGGCGATCCAAACTGCTTCCACCCTTATGTTTGCACCATATTGGGGAGGGGGGGGACCCCCCCCTCCCCCCAGTCTCGCAATTGAATAATCCCAAATTGACCAGCATGCATGCAGGATATATCTAAAATGTAAATCAATGAATTTATTTGTTGGGGACTACACCTACACATGGCACATTTATACTGGATGACATCATACTTTAGCTTCCCAAATGATTGTGAGCTAGGCTTTACTCAGCGCTACAGGTTTATTCTCGCTGGATTATGTTAATAGATTTGGCTGAGATGTGAGCCACGTGAGGGGCTCGCCTTAAAAACATGAGCTCTTATTTGAGAGGAACATCTGTACAGATAACAGGTGGATTACTGATGGGGTCTCCTCAGGGCAGGTCAACTTTATTGTTTGCTGCAGTACAACTGATAAAGCAACAATGTTTATACATTCTACCTGGCACAGTACACCACCGGTTAGTTACATGAAAACATACATTTGTTGTAGTGAATAAACATTTTTGGACCACCTGATAATAATTTTCCTGTAACATACCTCAGGGTCTCTCATCAGAGAGTGGTTGTGAATCACTGCCCAAATAATTCTCCCAATTAAAGGGGGGAGTTTGCAGAAAGTGCCGCACCCCGACAAAGAACATCTTATCACAGACCGGAAGCGTGACAAATGAGGTGTCAATCATTTGCTGTAAACTCACGAGCACGCTTAGAGCAGGTCACCGGCACACCCTCATCACCTCATGCTGGTCGGATAGCTTGGGCTCTAGGAGCATTGCTTAAACTATTTAGGAATAACCGGGCATAAACGTAGAAAGCAGAGCGAAGGAATATCAGGCAGCTGAGAGATTTCAGAAACAATGCACAATTAGCAACATTTATGCATGACAGGTATGTTCATCACATCTTTTTGATTGTCAATTTATTGTACATTCCCCCCCAAAAACTTCATACGAATGCCATTACGAATAAATCAAGCTACCCACGTAGCAGCCCTGGCTAACATCGGCTAGTCTACAGTGCTATTGCTAGCTTTGTATTGCTAAAGATGGTATTTTGTTGAAGCTGGAGAGCGTTATCCAATATCTATAGTTTATTGTCCTACGAGGAGGGGGAATAAAATCCAAAATTCAGAGCATAAATTGGATTGTCTAAAATCCAGTATATTTTAATCCCCCAATACATACATTATCCAATTCGTTTTTTTAAATTTGTTGAATAGTTCACAATTCATTGTGTCATTTTTGCAGTTTCACTGACCCTCGCATAAGAGTTCACACTTCTGTGAATCAAGGTTACTGACTATTTGGATATAAATGTGGTCTTTTTGTTTTATGCATCACTGTTGCAAGCAGATCGTCTGGTTTAAAATCATAGTAATGTCACATAAGTTTTATATCCGAAGAATGAATCGATGAATTTACAAGAAACATTTACATGTGTAAGACAAGGTTGCCCTTCAGAAACGTATCTTAAATAACGACAAACTAATGAGACTAGAATTTGCTTAAATCCATATAGCCAATCCACAATGCTAGAGGGAGAATGTCATTTCGACAGATAAGTCCAGACTGGAACATTTTGGCAAGTCATCAGCTCTATGCTCTCAGATGCAAAAATGAAGCATGCAAAGATAAGAACATTGGACCGACTCTGAAACATGGAGACCTAGTCATGATCTGGTGTTACTTTGTGCAGAGTGGCTTGACTCTTTATCGGAAGTGGGTAGTAACGCGCTAAATTTATTCTGTTACAGTCACTCAAGTAACTTTTTGGATAAATGGAGATGTTTTTTTGGTATTGTTTTGATTGTGCTTAGGCCAACATTAGCCCTGTTTTCCAAAATAAAACCTGTAGGTGGCTAGGTGGTCGACTGGTTAGCACGTTCGCCTCACCGTGCAGAGGTGCAGGGTTCAGTTCCAGCGCCGGCCTTGCTGTGTAGAGTTTGCATGTTCTCCCCGTGCTTGTGTGGCTTTTCTCTGGGTACTCCGGTTTCCTCCCACATTCCAAAAACATGCATGGCAAGCTAATGGAACACTCAAAACTGTCCATAGGTGTGATTGTGAGCGTGAATAGGTGTTCATGTATATGTGCGCTGCGATTGGCCGGCAATCAGTTCAGGGTGTACCCCGCCTACTGCCTGATGACAGCTGGGATATGCTTCAGCACACCCCGTGACACGCGTGAGGATAAGCGGATCAGAAAATGGATGGATGGATGGAATAACTTGTACTTGATCAATCAATCTGGCCAAACAAACCTCACTTCTACTCACAGTCACAGGTCAGTTCTCAGAGTGTGTGCACACTTGTCCAATCCAGTTGTTTTATCTTTATATTTTATCTGAATATTTTATTTAGTTATTTTTTGGGATGGGTCAGTACTGCCAAGTATCGGTATTTCAAGGTATCGATTACTCAAAAGGCTGTCGATACCAGTAACTAATACCAGTCAATAGGCACACTTGTTTCATTTGGTTGCAGGTTTTTCTTGCTTTAATGGAAGCACAACCAACAATTTTTTCCACATGTCTATAAGCAGCTACACATGCAGTCCCAAGCATTTTTGTGTAAAATCCAGCCCTTGGGGCTCTGCTGCGGCGTACCTCCTCAGCTCTGTTCTGTAAATGACTGCACAGAAATACAGTACAGTATCAGGCCACAGCGGTGAAGGGGGATGAGTGGAGAAAGGCCAATATGCAATTATTTCTTATTGAATCAGCACAAAGCAGCAGGCTCACGGTGCGTCGCTCTTGTCTGGATGGAGACCACTTGTGGTGCCGGCTGAAGAAAGGCGCTAACTCAGCAGGCGCCCAAGGAGTGTGCTGCTCTGTGTCCTTTTTTTTTTTTTTTATCGGGGGGAGAAAATTGACATCATAATGCAGTAGATCCTCAAAACATCCAGGAGGTGCTGGAACCATCATCGCCATTTATGGTTTCAACATTGTCCACAGGAACATGGATATTTTTAAAAACAGATTTTTCGACAAGCTTTGGCTTTTGCCCACACACAAATTGGTGGCTGCAGTAGTTAAGTAAGGACCTAAGGTCTGAAAATCACAGCCCAGTCCCTTCCTGTATGTTGGTTGACTTCACTTGATTGTAAAGTAGTTGGGAAAACAAATGATTTTATGATTTTAGGAAATAATGGAAATATAAATACTGTTACATTTGTATTCCTTTTTAAAAAACTATCTTCTATTCGATATACCGGTACTGTAGCAAGTAGTGAGTCTAGCGAGCATGTAATAATTTTACAAACATATTTGTGCCGCCCTGAACCATGTTTGGTCCTGGTCATGTTTGCTTCACGGTCTTTTTTTGCAGACGCATGTTCTTAGTCGGTGCCATGGCTGCCAGTGAGCAATACAGAGATAGAAAAAAGATGGCCAAGGTTTGTGGTCGCTTTAAATTAAAATAGGACGAAAATAAAGTTATGTGTAATTACTGCAAAGCGGAGCTGTGGTAGCTTGGGAGTAGCTTGAGAGAAAATGGCCACACGAGAATCATTAGCTAATGTAATATGTCCTACCATTGCTAGTTAGAATGTACTCCTTGGGGTTTGTACACTACACTCAGCTTTATATTAATTTGACAAATTACGCTTGTGTGAGTGCCCCTCTTTCATTCCTTTAATAGAGCACAACTCACGGTGTGATACTTTTTCAGTAAACTAGCACTGAACAAGCGAAAGCCTTTTCAATGTGCGTCCCATCACTACTTTACTGGAACAAAGCATCTTCCACTAAACTTGTGTCTGCGCAAGCTGAAGCTTCTCCAGCTAACTTAGCTTAGCATAGCTTGCTCCCTCCGTCTCTTATCAGCGCATCACTCAGCAGTGATCATTTATGAGTGTGAAGTCATGTAATTAACTGTGGGAAATTTTTCGAAAAAAATAAATAAATAAGGAGCAGGCGAATGTGATAGTCGTGGCAATGAAATGCTCCTCATGTCCACTGCCAGTGTGCCATCGGAGCAGCCAGGCAAAAAGTACTAACACTCTATCGTTACAGGTAGGAACTTTAGAATAGACAGCTACTTGTAAGAGTAGAAGAACTGATTGTGCCGAGTAAAAAAAACAAAAAAAGAAAAGAATGCTACAATAGTGAATGATAGCAACTGAAAAATACACCTCAGTTATATCTGCTTTTTCAGAGCAGATGGAATGTTTTGAAATTCCAAGAAACAGGTACTGTAGCTTTTAGGCTGGCACAAGGCACAATACACCAAGGATCATTCTTGTAGCTGACCACAATCAAACAATTCTGCAAAATGAGCATGTGTGGGGAATATCTTGTTTCTCTGAATTTGTTGTTTTATCTGCGTTGATGCTCCACATATCTTGTTTTTAAATGTAGGGAGTACAAGTAAAAAGTTGTCCCAAAAAACAATATTCAAATAAAGTACAGATGTCAGAAGAATCTACTTATGTACAAAAACAAAGTACGGCACGTGGACTTTGTCACTTCCCTCCACTGAAGAAACATCATAGCATTTAGTTTGCTGAAAATGTACTTTATGAAAAAGCGTTACAGTGTGTCCTGTTAACCATCCCTTTTTTGTTGTTCTCTTTAATTCAGCAAAAAAAACATACATTGGGTAATTTGTGGCACTGGTGAGAACATTTTTCACCAGTTTGAGAGTTTGAGCATGTGTACGCATATATATATATATATATATATATATATGTGTGTGTGTGTGTGTGTGTGTGTGTGTGTGTGTGTGTGTGTGTGTGTGTGTGTGGACTTA